AAAAAACTTCCATACTTCCTGTCCCACTCTCCAGCCTGGTCTCACCCGTAAGCCATCATCATGGAGCTCAGCCCGCATGAGAGTCCTCTCCGCTGGGATGGTGACTACCTGCAGGTTAGGAATCAGACCCATCACGAGGTTACCGCTTGTCCTCACTGGCCAGGTGCCACCACCCCACGAGCACCCTCAGGCTCAGTCTGGCCAGATTCCTCACCATGCTCACCCTCACGTCTGGGCCAGCACTTCTATTCCCATCCCCTCGCTCCATTCCAGGGTAGCCTTTCTTCCCAGATGTCAGTTGGCTCTCTTAACACTTCCATTAGCTCTCTATTTCATTCAGTACCAAGTCTAACTCCTTCATGTGGCCTTCAAGGCCTTTCTTTACGTCCCCAGCTTCAGTGTTTCTGCCTCTTCCCCCACCCACCAACCAATCTCCAGCCACACTGAACTACTTAAAGTTCTCACAACTTCCCATACTCGCCTTCACCTCCAGGCCTGTAGGGTTTTCTTTTTTCTAGAATACTTTCTCTCCTTCCCTGAACTCTTCCCCCATTAAACTGCCCCTAACTAATTCCTGTTTGTCCTTAAATTCTCAGCTTATATGGAAGCTTTCCCTGACTGCAGAGGATTTGGTTAGGGGTCTGCTCATGTGTTCTATGAAGTTCCAGTTCTTTCCCTTATTAGAGTTTATATCACATATCATTGCAGTAGGCTCAGCGCTTTCATGCATTAAGTCTGCAGTAAATATTTTTATAGTAAATTTCTTTTGTATCTATTATAATACTTAGCACAATGTTGGGATCATCTTCAGTGCCTAACATGAAACAGACATGTTGATTATAAAAGTCATCTTTACTAAATGGATTCCATTTTAGAAACTGCCATCAACTAGCCAGATGCAGAACAGATATGGACCTAATGAAACACATTAACACTCACCATCCCACCGCACTGGCCTGGAGAATAAACACAAACGTGTTGCAACAAGGTCATTTGCAGAGCTACTAAATTTCTACAGAAGAGACATTTGCTGGCCTAAGTACATACTTCCAGGTTTCCATGCTGAAGGATGAAGAACATGGTGGGAAGAGTGTCATGGGGAGATAAGGACCATATAACCATTAGGAATAACTGGAATGATTTACACAGCGAAGTCATAATTGGTTGCATGGAAGATTTGGGGACATAAATCTTTAAAAAATGTTTTGCTTATGATTAAGAAAAACTGTGAGGCTTACCCACCCTTGCACCTCTGTGGTGTGGGCGCGTGGAGGTGGGATGGGCAATTCTCGCCATCTCGTTTTATGATACCGGCTCAGGAGTTAATAGGTGTTTTTCTTTCTCTACTCTGACTTTACCCAGTGTTTTACCCAGTCAGGCCCTCCTGCACTTCACATGCTACTGATTGAAAATCTCAAATGCTTCAGCTCTGATCACAACCACTTTTTTCTGGTACACCCATCTCACTCCAATTTTTACCTTCTCCAGACCTTCAATTCCATTCTGGCTCCCATTTTGGTTGCCATTATTGCCATTTGGATCCCAGAACTTGTTTTTTCTTGACTTTCCCCCTTGATGTTCTTTTAGAACTTTGGTTCCTGTGCTCACTATTTGACTACTCCACTATTAGACCCTAATTCTCCTGAAAGAGTGGTTGTTTTTTTCTCTCTTTTACAAGAAATGCACATTTCATACATGTCATGAGCCAACTTAAAAAATAAACAGCCATTCCAGGACCAAACATCCATGGTGGACTTTGAACCACTTGAGCCACAAATAACACAATGTGCTGGTATTTCCCAAAGTGTAGGACACACGCTGCACATGGACATGCCACAGGAGGTGACTGGTACAGAGGTACGATGGCATGGTGTTGAATAACTTGGGTCCACAGTGTGAGAAGGTTATTCTTTTTTCAGTTCTCTTTCAATCCTTCTGATCACAGTAAGGACAAAATCCCAGTGCTAATCTTGATCATCTTTTCTATACTTTAGGAGACCTCTAACACAAAATAATTGAATAGCAATTACTTCCATTTTTTGACTTTCTATAGTTATTTTCTCTTTATGATAAATTGCATTTGTCCACCATGTACACAAATGATATGTCCGTAGCAATTAGTTTCCTTTGCAAGTAAATTATATTTAAAAGCTAAGCCCATATAAAGAAAATAGTATTTAAAGAACAGCACAAGTACAGATAGTATGTGGCTTTGGTAAAAATCATGACATAGTGGTTATGAATTGCTGAATTTTGGTAAATAATAAAAAAGAGGCCAAAGTTTTAGACCAAAATTAGAAATTAGGCATAGGCATCAGTAATAGTTCAGATATTTTTTGACTCTCAAAATATCAAGGTTTCTTTAAATCAGCAATAAAAATATTTCCATTAATTCTCTAAGCATTTTAATGGTGTTTCTTAAAAAAAGAATCTCCCCATACTTTTATCCCTGTGCTTTTCTTCCCCAAAACCATGAAATGATTGTTCCATAGACCATAGCACTCATGGGTAAACCAAAAAAAAAGAAAAGAAAAAGGATTTTTTAGCCCCATAATTGCCAAAGGAGTAAGCAGAACCTTGAGAAAACAAGCTCGTGTTCAAGAAAATAATTTTCATTGCCAGCACCTAACCACCGGCCTTTTTCTTAAGAAGAGGATGAGGCCCACGGGGTAATAAAAGGCCCTATAGAACCACATAAAAGTTCCACATGTGCTCCTCCCTGAGTGGCCTTCAAGGGGGTAAGGGCTAGCAGGGGCCAGGGGGGTAGGGCTCAAAGCAAGACAAAAAAACCTTGCTTCTGGAGAAGCAGCTCATCTTTTACAAAAAACTAATTAACATGACTGGTTCTCCTTCTCAGAAGATCTTGTTATCAGTGAAAAACAACAACAATAATAATCGTAATAATAATGATATGAGCCCTAGCAGTTGGGATTTCTGCAATTACAGTGTGAATTGCATGAGAGGATTATATGAAGTGCTCTTGGCTTGGAGGGGGAAGTAAGACGCCTCAGCCTGCAAGTCGCAAGCAGCTGCTTGGGGCCGTGCACCTGCCGGTTCCAAGGCTGTTTTCACCTCGAGAGGAAAACAGGCCCCTTCTCTTTCCCTTTCACAAACCCCAATCCAAAAACCACCACTAAGAAGGGGGGAGAAATCAAGAGAAAAATGGAGAGGAAAGAAAGGCCGAGGGGGAAAAAAAAGTTTGTCGGTAGCAAGCAAGAGAGTCTTCCCCACTTAGTGAGAAAATCGTGAGGCTGGAGAGGAAGGGAGGGGTAGGGAGTGGGAGCAGGGAAGCAAGTGGGAGGGAATGACTTCATTTTAATGCAGCAACAGACAGGGTGCGATCTGATATTGGCAAAGTTTCAACGAAAATGGGGGGCAAGGGGGCGGGAGGAGAAGAAAGGACTCTTTTACTGTTTCATGCTTCTAAGTCTTCCCGAGGAGCATAAGCTCCGCTCGACATTCTGGGAATAGCAATGAGGCACACACAACAATCAAAACGCACTAAATCTGTTTGATGATTCAAACACATCATGCATCTGCACCCACAAAATAGGACTTCAATTAAATAACCTTGCAGATTTGAACAGGAAAAGAAGGGAGAGCATGAGGATTTTTAATTAGTAACTCTGATTCAAGCGGTTTTGTAAAAATTAGGTGTTTGCACTACACTTCATTCTTAAGTGAGTTGTAAGCGTGTGCTGTGAGAGAGCATGAGCAGTTCCTCCCTAACATTTGCGTGAAGTTGTTGCTTTCTTTCCTTATCAAGAAGATTATAGGAGGTTGCTCCAGCCAGGACTATACCATCGAGGTGAGAAGAAACTAAATGAGGCTTTTTCATCTAGGTGCACACAAATACATGCATATACACAGACCTTTCCCAGTATTACAGTAAGACTCTATATGGTTTACTAAAACAAAAGAAAACATACACCCACACATACACAACAAACAGAAAGAGAATAAAAGCCCCATGTCTCAAATCAGGTCATGTACAAGCCACAATTTCCAATTCCAAGAATTTTTGCTTACAGGGACTTCTATGTCTGTGAAAGGGATAAATTATTTCACTGCATAAATATTATTTGGTCTTTGAGCACATGACTTGTCGTATATGTTTGTATCCACACTGGACAATAGCACACAGTCCACTGTGAATGATGTGCTTGAGTGCCCCAGAAAAGGCCTTTTTTTGTTGTTAGAGAGATCAGGATTCACCTGTTTTTTAGATTGACCTCCAAACAAGGTTGGCCTGGTCTCTGCTTGCTCTGAAAAAATCAAAAGGAAATAATTCATATTGAAAAGTGGGAAAGTGTTTGTAAGGTTCTCTCTTTGGACTCATAGAAATACTTCTCTTTTATATTGATAATGTATTCTACCTAGAATCCTAACCTGAAATTTGGAAGAACAAAAACAAGATTTTAAAACTCTCTAGACTATACCCCTCTACACAAAAAAGGCTCTAAATGTAAGAGTTACCTCAAAAAATATAAATAAAATCTATTTCAAATATAAGCACTTTTGCCAGCTTGAATCTCTGAGATTAATACAAAGACTAATTAGTAAAACAAGAAAGCCAAGTCATGAATTAGTGAGATATGAAAATTAACTAAATCAGTCTTTAGGGTCTGAAAATATAAATGAATCACAGAAACGGAGGCAAGAGTTCAGAAGTGGGAGCACGATGCTGAGATACCTCACCACACTCTGATTTTCAAGGAGTTATTTGAGGGATTGTGGAATGTGAACTATGGTAGAGGTAATGCTTTTTTAGAAACCATACAGTTTGGGTCAAAAACAGAATTCAAAGGGAACCCAAGCCAGAGACATTAGACATACCCATCCCAGTGAAAATATGTCCATTTTAAAAGCCTGCAAGCCTTAGGAAAATTATGAAAAAAAAAGATGGACATTTTTGTTAATCGGGGAAGTGGAACTGGAGGTAAATTATGGAAGTAGCAAAGTGTGAGAGTGTTCAGAACATCCCTCAGCCAGTTTTTTACCTCTGAATGGGTGAATGGTGATGTTTTTCTTCCACTGCAGAGTGAGGCCAGATTCCAGGCGAATTCTCCCCTAATAGAAATGAGGAAGAGATCTTAAACCTAAGAGGCAGGAATCCCAGATTCCAATCCTAAATCAGTGTGGCCTTGAGGAAATAACTTGCTGTCTCTGGGCCTTGTGTTTTCATCTAAGAAACGAGGGCGTTGAATCATTAGATAGTCTCAAAGATGTCATCTGGTTCCAAAATCCCATGATTCTGTGGGTGGAACCAGACAAGACCGATATCATATTTTTTGCACCAAGTGGTAGACAAAGAGAAAAGCTAAACAACATATTCCTCTCTCGCTGCCATGATTAAAATTCCCAAAGAGGTGAATCCCCAATAACTCACAGCTTCAACAGAAGCTCCTTAGAAAATAAAGGGCACGTTTTTAGTCTACTCATAACTTCTTATACCAACTCAAAACACAAACTTGAAAGTAGAATGATGGTTACCAGAGACTGGGGAGGGCAGTGGAGATGTGGGTATAAAGTGGAGATGGTTAATGGGTACACAAATACAGTTAGGTAGTTAGATAGAATGAGCAATATTTTAGAAAAAATTAGCTGGTCATGGTGGCGCATGCCTGCAGTCCCAGCTACTCGGGAGGCTGAGGTGGAGGATCACTTGAGCCCAGGAGTTTGAGTCTGGCCTGAGCAACATAGTGAAACCCTGTCTCTAAAAATAATTTTAAAAATGGAATCTATTACAGCTGGATTAAATAAAACTGAACAAATTTTACAGCAAAATATTTCAGAGCAATTAGTTAATAAACTGATATACACTGTGACACTCCAAGTGGTATAGATAGTACTGGTCTTCTCAAACTTTTTTAAAAAGCCTTTATCAGAAAAGATTGTCCAATCTCTATAACAGAATTTCACTTAAAATTAAGGTACAAAAGTTCACTTATTCATTTGATCATTAATGCCACAAATATTTACTTTGACATAATAACAGCTAGTCATAATAAATTGTGATAAGCATAGGGACTGCAATATGCACAGGATAATATGAATGTCAATGGAGAAGCGCCCCCCTGGTGGGAGCAGGGTGATCAGGAAGTTAGAAAATGGTTTCTCTATGGGGTGACATCCAGAAATAAGAATGGAAGGGAGCTATCAAATTCCTGACATATGTATAACAATTAACAATTTGTAAAGTTTTTCTTATCATAATACCTGCTTTTTCATATCCCCTTGAGCACTTGTAATATGTAAGATATCTTTAATTTATTTGTGTTTTAATTTGCCTTTCTGAGAAAGTGCATTTCCTTTAGAGTTTTACCTTATATATCTTTTTTTCCATGAAATGCTTCTATCTGAACCTCAACCTCCAACCTCAGGATATAGTAAAAGACAAATTAAGTTTGGGTTTCCAATATGTCATTTTTTCATATATTCCTTAGGGTGAAAATCTTTAAGCAACACGTATTAAATTTTAGACAAAAGAAATAGGGTAATTTTTTTTTTCAAAATGTGAGATTTAAATATTAAAAGCTTTGTGAGCAGTTCAAACTACATGGAGAAACTTTTTGTTTGTTCCTGGTGAAGGCTTGATTTGGAATTCCTCAGCAAAGTACCAAAGGAGAGATTTTGGACCCTGGCAAGAGGCTAGCTTGACAAAGTAGTTGTGTGGGACGACAACTCTTGAAGATACTGCGACTGCAGGTGGGACCCAGGCTACCCCCACTGACTAGTGGATGCTGTTCATCTTTCAACCTGCATGGTAAGATCATTGACAGCACATGCTTTTCACCATAGATCATTTAATTAATTCTATTATTGATTTGATAATAACCTGAGGTTAATTGGCATCCTTCTTTCTATCAGAATAACTTATGAGAAAGAATAGAAGGCAGATCTTTCCTATCCCTCCCAGGCGCAGAAAAGGAGAGTTCCCTCCCCTTACCCTATTCCTACCTGACTGTGAAGAGAAATTTTCTATAGATCCTAAAAATCAGTTACAGGAAACTTGATGACAAGAGCACAGAGCGGGAGAAGGCAGGGCAGTGTGTGGGGAACATAGCTGACAGCTTCTGTGCATGAGGCAGACTCTCCATTCATCCTGCAGCGAAGGGGGCACTAACCCAGAAGTCAAACAGCCCGAGTCCCAGCCCAGCTCTCCCTCTCGCTAACTGCGACTTTTCTGCTCTAAAGCTTCATTTTCCTTGTCTTCAAAAGGAGTGATCATGCCCTGCCAGTGTCATCCCCAGGGTGCTTAAGAGGTTCAAATGAGTCAAAATAGGTGAAAGCACTGTGAAAAGTCTAAAGTGCCAAGTGCCATACCTGAGGCCTCTCTTGATTATGTGCACTATTTGGGCAAGAGCTTGGGTCCCAAAGTCAGACCCATCTGAGTTAGAACCCTGGCTCTGCCTCGTGCCAGCTATATGACCCTGTGCAAGTTTCACTCTCTAAGCTTCATGTTCTTCATCTATAACATGAAGAGCACTCACCCTCAAAGAGTTGTGAGGATTTAATGAGATCATAAATGTAGCACCCTGACAGTGTCTGGAATAGAGGTTTCCCAGTGGATGCTGGCTCGTATCATTAGTGAAGAGCCGCTGCCGTGCAGCTCAGATCACCCTGTTGTTACAGCGTGGGAGAATGAGACTCGTCAAGTGTGCTTGGCAGCCCCGTCAGATACCAAATTCATAAGTCACTTCCTCGTCGGAAGTTTTTCTCCCTCCCCTACCCCTGCCCAGGTTCATTATTCTCCCTCTCGTACCACTTGTGTTTTAACACTCTATTGCACTTATTACCCACCACTTTGTAATTTATTTACTTACATGTGTCCTCTACTAGATTATAACAAAACTGATGCCAGCACCACTCTGTCCTATTAATCTGAGAATTACCTGGGCCTAAGACAGTGCACATCTTACAGCAGGCACTTAATAAATGCTTTGGAATTGGGTGCATGAATATATACTGTTCTGTTGTAAATCAGCCCTCAAATAAATGATGGAGACGTAAATGCAGAGGTGACATAACACAGGGGAAAGAGCAATGCCCTCAGGTCTCGGATAGCCTTAACTCTAGCATTTTTCTCCTGCTCTCTGTAGTGTGGGCTGACACAGATCTGTGCCTCTGTTATGCAGTCCAAGCAAACATTCACAGCTCAGCTATTTTACTTGCCCTATAAAGCTAATAAAAATGAAGGAAAGCAATGCTGAGAATAAAATTTTAAATTTCAGTTGACTTCGTATGTCTCCAGATTTCACATCCTTGATATAACGTCACAAAAGCCCGAACTCTACACCAAAGAGAACAAACATGAACTGTCTCAGAATCAAGAATATTAAACCAGGGGCTAGTAGTAGATGAAGCAGATGGCTTTCCACCCAGCATGATTTCTAAATATAACCACAAGACCCTGCCCTCTCAATAATTTTTCCCCATAAATCTTTCCTTCCCTTCCTAACTGGCCTGAAATTCATGCCATTGTAAATTCATGTGTGTATGTGCATTTGAGGTGAGCTGGACATGGCATCTTCAGAAAACCCTCACAGAAATGCCTGCTCTCTTTCCACTTGCCTTTTCTCATGAGCATATTAGCATCATCCATGGGAATAGGCCCTATAAATTATAGATATTACTACTATTAACAAAGAATAATTTATCAGATCAGGTTTGAGTCCCACAGAAGACAGCTTGGCCATGAGGGAAAGGGAACTTAGAAAGGACAGATAGATTTTCATCATGGACAACAGATTGCTCTGGAACTGGAACTGGGTGCAGACTGCGGAAGGTAGACCAGGGAGAGGCGACTTAATTAGAGCCCAGGCCCTGGGCAGCTGGAGAGGAAGCATAACAATGGAAGTAAATGTCAGTATTGGATCCCATCGTCTCTTAAGTCTACTCATTTTTCTTTTTTGTCATTGCTGTTTTCAAGTAAGGCTTGTTGAATAACTTAGCACATGCTTATGTTAGGACCATCCCTGGTATACAGTTGTGTGAATGTTTCTCTTCTTTTAGGGAACTGACCCTACCACTATTTTAATCATACAATTTAAATAGAAAGTGATAACCACAGTTCTTCCTCCCAATTCCCAAACTGAATTGATAGGTTTGGCAAAGAGTACATGGCCCGTTTGGACCAATCCAAATCCTACCCCCACAATTTTCTAGCTGGAGCTCAGAGGGGATTGGCCCCATCTCTAGTGGTAGAGATGGGAGATATGGGCCAGAGAGCAGGATAGGGTCATGTTTCAAGCCAAATGGAAGTCGGGCTGAGAAAATAAAGCCAGGGATCTGGGAGAAGAGCAGACAAGAAAGATGAAGAGTGTCCTGGTGACTATCCCCCAGAGAGTCCCATTTCTAGGCGTCCCTGAGACCAAGCTATCCTTTCATCCCTTCATGCTGATTGGCTAGGTGAAACAGTAAATCCCCCTCTTGCCTAAGTTAGTTCAAGTGCTCTGTTTGCTATGTGGAACAAAATAATCCTCAACATGCTAAATTTGAATGCCTCCTGTGGATCTTTAATCAAGTATAAGCCACCGTGTTGGATTCGGGATTGCTGATAGAGAAGAAAGGAACAAGAACCAGCACATACTGAATACCTACTACATTTTGGGTATTATACAAAAATTACAATATTTTCCTTTACAACAACTCTATGAAGTAGGCATTGCTTTTAGGAAATTGAGTCTGAGTATGGTTGGTAACTTGCCCAAGTTCTTACAGTAAGTAACAGAGACAAAGTTTGAACTTATATCTGACTCCATATCCATATCCCATTCTTATTCGTCTGCTACATATTGCCCTTTATGGGGTCTTACAACACAATTCACAAAAGAGGTATTTACTTAAAAGAAAATAATGGGATATGAGGTGATGCGAACAAGAAGAGAGGAAGCATTGAATATGGACTGACCCACTGCCCAAAGGACCACCCAAATTCTACGTACCAAATGGAATCTTGAAGCCCTATATACTGCTTTAAAACCATGTCCTTGCCATAAAACTAAAAATGTCAGTGTTACTAGATAAGGGCTTTAGTCAAGGCTCTTCACTTAAATATGTTCAGATCTGTAAGTTGGAGGTGGAAAATAAAATCTTCAAAGACTTAAGCAATTTTATTGGAGAGGAGTAATGTTTAACCAAGTCTATAATAAAATGAGGAAGGATCAGTGAAATACAGCCACCCAAAGACAGAGAGAGGGCAGGGAAAATGGGTCTAAACACATCAGAAATTACTTAAGTTCTTTATATGAGAAAACCATTGGTTGATAGTGAGGGCTGTTAAACAATGAAATGGGTTACCAGGGCAAGCTAAGGAATCTTCTCATCCAGAGGCCTTTAAAATAGTAAAATTTTCTTGGCCTGAATGGCTTTACGTGTGGTCTTCCGTGAGGCGGGGTGGGGTCAGAGAGCTGTGGAGGGAGGGATGACCCCTCCAAATCCCTTCCCAAAGCCTGGGATTCTCCCTACCTGACTGTCATCACCTTGAGAAAGGGGTTCTGTGCCATTCGTCAACCTGCCCGCTTTCCTGGTCCTTTCCTACCTTAGTAATGCACTAATTCACAACTGCTACTGCAGAAATGATTGAAATATTTAGACATAATGGAGGACGTTTAATAGGGTCCAGTAGGAAACCCAGGTGTTTAGATCAGCTTAAAAATAATAACTACCTCCCCTGCCAGGGGGCTTTCTATTCACAATCAGCTCTGCTTTTATTCTTAACCATAAAGGCTACCTCAGACAGGAAATTATTCACGTGATTGGTCTTTACAAGTGCTGTTGGGTTTAAACTGAGGGCTGTAGAGGTCATTAGTGGGCAGCCATGTGATTAACCTTTGCTAGCCTGTTGCTTTTCACACTTTGTTAACAGCTTCCATTATTGCCCCTCTGAGCCCTGAGGAAGCTGTTTATTGACAGTATTAAAAATACATCGCTACAAATTCTTAAGAGGCTTGTGTTAAAGAAAAAAAAACCTCCCAACATCTTATAGCCAGCCGACTGGGGAAATGAGAAACCTCTAATTTGCCATAAAGGTTTATCTAGAACTGCATTAAATAACACTGCATTTAACTCAACTGTAGTGCCTGACATCGCTCCTTCCCTTTCATATTTATACATTACGGTGACACCAGAGAATTTGAGGAGGGAGCTATAAAACCTCCGGACGTATTTGAGGTGTGGACTCTGTTATTTCTGAGGAAATTCGGTTGTACGTAAGTTTGAGAAGGAGGGAGGGAAAGAGGTTGATAAGAAAAATGTTCCTCTTGAGGAAAAATAAAGCCCTTGCCCACATAAAATGACCAAGAGTTTCAGGAAGAATGTGTATGTATGACTCAGTACTTAATCTGATGTGAACAAATGATGGTGGTTGTAGTTTTCACCTTACTCCCACCCCTACCCTGGGATATAAAATGTTTTGGGAGACATTTTCTAGAGTTATTTGTGCAAGAAAAACCATATTAATGTTTCCCTACCAGGGATGTGCCTAAAACCTACTTAAACGATGGCATTCTTCAAATGCTCCCTGGTCCATGCTCCCCAGCCCCCACCCACTGCCACATGACCTCCCTGCAAGAATTGAATGGCCTTTCTGTGACCCCTACCTCAGCATAAGATTTTTTCCCAAGCACTTTCCTTTTACTTTCTGAATTCCAGTGGAGAATTTAATTCCCCGCTTCAGAAGTATCTAAAGCTTTCCCCTTCCTATGACAGAATCCAAATTCAGCTTGGGGTGGAGGAAATGATTCTTCAAGCGATTTATCCCTGCCTGTTACATATATATTAATGCATATATATGTACGTGCATATATCTACATGTATATATATATAAAAGGAATGCATGAGAGAGGCAAACACTAGAATTCCATGTGAAATTTATGTGCTTAAAAGATTAAAATATTTGTGCATTGTACAAAAAGAGAGATTATTGATTCTTCTTCAACTTCCTTGACTCTGTGTTTTTTTGTTTATTTGTTTTCTGTTTCGATGCCTTTGCTCTCACGCACTCATATGCTGTTTAAAACGTGTGGCGATAGACACAAATTCTCTTCCTGGGAATAATGTCAGGGCAAGAATTATTTCTCTCAAACAAAATATGAATTAATGTTCTTCTTAAAAGAAGAGAAGCATAGTAAGTGGGGCTACTACCTTCTCTCGAGACTGCCGACTGCCTGCTGTATGTCACAGTGACCTCTGATGTTTGTGTGAATTGTGCTGCAGATGGACTGTAGTTCCCACGTAGATACTCTGGCGAACAAAACAAACAAAAAGGTTCAATTCCCTTTCTAAAATAACTTTGTAACGTTTAAAACTGACAAGCCACATATTCCTAAATTTTATGATGGAAGACTGGAGGAGAAATTGTTGCCAGGATTAAGACTTTGTATTTTATGTCAAATTTTACCTGGAAGCTCGTTTTAAAAGTGGAATTATAACCCGCCCACCCCCAAAAAGCAGGGATTTGAGATGAAAATGCCAAAATAACTTTAATTATAGGTTTGTGGGGGGTGTGACATTAAAATATCAGTCAGTGGAAAACTTCACATTATTAATGTGTCACTCAAAAAAGTTGAAATTTGTGTTATACCATTACTATTTATTTGTACATTCTTGGTCTCCAATACACACGCTTGCTAGATAAGAGCCCAAATCATTATAACAAGTGGTCCAACATTTTCAAATCTCTTTTAAAATCAGAGTTAAATATAAATCAGTGTAGGCTTGTTCATGTAAAACCTTGATTCCACTTACTGCAGATTTTTTTCATTGAGCTGAATCATATATGCTTTTTCAAATATAAAAAATAACAAATTTCAATTTGACCTACAATCTTTCTATTTTCTCTACAAAATTTGAAGTAATATTGTGTCACTGGGGGTAAAATATATAGCAGCCTCTAATGTCTAGCTAGTATTTCTTACCCTAGACTTATTGTAGACAATAATTGGTTTTCTCTGCTCCCTCTCCCAAACTGCATAAGAAAGGAAACCATGGAAACTGGGCCACCATAAAGCAATGCTTTCTAACCTCAGCTAAGCTCTCGATGATCCTCAGAAATGGTTTTACACATACCTTGTTGACTAATTATTACAGGGGGCCACAGTGGCTGTTTTAAATATTCTTCAACCTCAAAAGCCCATCCCTTGACTTCCTTCAAGTTAACCTCACTCACAGAAAATGACCTTATGGCAGACTTCGCTGAGGAAGGTCTGTCAGTGTGAGCTCCTCGTGCCAGTGCTTAACCAAACTAGACCCGGGCCCTGGGCTTCGTGGTTGGCTTAGCCGGGTCCAGCACTACTGCTGGCTTAAGTTCTCCTGCCTGTGTTCCCCACCCTCACCAGGCAGCCCCACCTTGACAGCCCATCTTTCCAAAGGCCTATACCACATTGCTGCCTGGTCCCAGCTAACCTCTATCTCAAATTCCTCACACCATTTTTTTAAACTGACACATCATAATTGTTACATATTTAAGGGGTATGGTACGATGTTTGGATACATACACACATGGTGTAAAAAATCAAGTCAGGGTATTTAGCATATCCATCACCTCAAACATTTATTTCTTTGTGATGAGAACATTCAAAATTCTCTCTTCTAGCAATTTTGAAATAGACAACACAACATTGTTAACCATAAGTCATCCTACCGTTCACTTCTAACAGCATTTTCCATCTCTTCTGACGATGGGCTCATCCCTGTGTCAAGAATATGGCCAGCTCTTCCCTGTGCTTACACATTCCTTTGAGGATCCTTTCTGTACCATCATTTCCACTTCTCCAGGGCTTTACCTTTGGCCTTCTTCCTTAAGTTCTCTCTTTTAGAATCTCTGGCTTCCCTCTCTTTCTTGGCAAGCTCATCACATCTGGAGCTTCTACTCTGATCTTTAAGCAACTAGTTCCTCAGTCCTTAAACTCAGATTTTCTAACTTTCAGAGCCATTAATTAATTCCTCAAACTAAAATGCTCTTTCCTCACCAAACTAGCGCTTATCCTCAACTTCCTCATTTTCATATTGTCATTAATGACCCAGAGCCATGGGTGTTTTCTTCTCTACTATGGCCAGTAAATTGCCTTCATGCTTAGAATGAAAACCAAAGAACTTTGCCTGGCCTGGAGCTCACTGTGTAAGCTCTGACCTCATACCTCTCTACTTTTTCCTGGGTTACCATGATTTAACCACACTGGCCTTGTTTCTGCTTCTCAAAGCCACCAAAATTGTCCTCTGCTTGGTGGTTTGTGCCTTCTCCTCTCTCCCCCAGGACGGTTTCTTGTCATCTGGCCAAACTGTTACCCCAGCAGAGATAGGGCCCCAGAAACTCTGCCACACCACACTGTTGATATTAACATTTTCCCCAAAGCAACTTTCATGACTGACACTAACTTATTTCTTGTTTACTTTTTAACCTGCTTATTATTGATCTCTCCTCTGTATAATAGAAGCTCCTTGAAAGCAGAAACCTATGTGTTTTGCTCACTACTGTAATTTTGTGGACAAGGACTATGCTGTATAGAATCTCAATAACTATTCTGTGAATGAATGAATAAGTGCAGTCTGATAGATTCAATTGTCACAGTATCTCTCAAATCCATCCCTCCTTTGTCTTCCCACTGCTATCACTATAGGTCATGCCCTCATCATGGAGTACCTTGACACTGCCTGAGACCTTTTCTGTCCCATCAATGCTTCACGTGGCCACTAGATTAATCCATGTATCAGTTTTGATCCTATTATTATCATGTTCAAAATGTTTAGTAGGCTGAAAATTTCATAACCAAATTAAGTATAAACTCATCACCATAGCTTTTAATATGCATCCATTTATTCAACAATCATACTGGGTTCAATTATACATAGAAGAGACTATGTAGAATGTTGCAGAACATGACTAAGTAGACCACACTAGAGAGCTCTATTATAGATGTATGCCCCAGATTTAAAGGTGAGCAAAGAGAAAACCCTTACTTAGCCTGTAGGAAGTGATACTTCAGCTGAATCTTGAAGGATAAATAGGAGTTTACCAGCCAAGTAAAATGTATGCGTGCATGTGTGAGAAGTGGGTGACTGTTTTCTAGGGAGAAAGACTAGCATATGCAAAAACACACATAGCATGGTGAGCTGTTGATGATTATGACAAGTGGTCCAGTTTGGCAGGATAATTGGGGTGAAGGATGTAGGTAGAGGAAGAAATGAAGCAGCATGATCAGAAGAGACCAAATCAGTAAGGACCTTGAATTCTATTCTAACAACAAAAAGGCAGAATAGAGTGGCAGTTGAGAACATATACATACTGGACTCAGACTCTCTGGGTTTAATTCCTGCCCCAAATGGGCAAGTTACCCTTTCTTTGTCCTTGTTTCCTCATCAATAAAATGGAGATGAAAATAATAACAGCAACCTATCTCATAGAATTACTATGAGAACTAAATGACTTAACATACATAAAGCAATTAGAACACTACCTGGCACATAATAAGTACACTAATATTTTCAATTGTTATCCTATAGCTAATGGGAAGCTATTAAAGAATTATAAGCAGAAAAGTGACCTAAGACTAATATCTCTTAAAGATAATTCTTATAGTAGTATATAAAATGGAACATAAGGAGAAAGAGAATGGAAGTCAAAACATCAGTTCGAATTAAAAAATGATGAGAAGCCAAACTATGGTAGTGAAAATGGACAGGCAAAGGAAAATACAGACTTGAGAATCATTTAAGAAGCAAAGTCAAGAGAATTTGGTGACAATTATGTGAGTAGCAAGGGTGAGAGTGTTATGGACAATTCCCAAATTTCTGACACAAAGGATCAGTGTATGGTAGAGCTATTAAGTAGAATCAGAAATATAAGACAAAGCACTGATTTTGGAGAAGAGACTACATTCAGCGCATCAGTGATATAATGAAGTTGTGCTATCTACTGCGCAGACATGAAAGACTGCCAACAGGCAATTGGAAATACAGGTCCAGAGCTCAGAAGAAATTGTTTGAAGCTGTATGAGCAGAAGATACACAGTACGAAGAGGAAAAGCAGACGCGGAGCCCTAAGACCACTGGAAGATGCCAGCATGGAAGGGAAGACTCTCATGAAGTAGGAAGACAGCAAGGTAAGAAAGGAATTGTGGGAACCAAGGAGTCTTAAAAATAAGGGGGAGATCCACAGTGGCCAACCTTGGGTATGCTGCCTAAGGGAAGAACCTTAGCATCCCCACTAGGTTTGCAATTGTGTCACTAATGAATCCAGTGAAAGCATTACAGAAGCAAGGTGGGAGCAGAAGTCAGGCCACAGCAGGTCGAACAGTTTAGAAGCCAATGTAAGGGGAAGAAGGAATCTCTTGGGAAGCTGAGGTATGAAGGGGGAAAGAGAAGAAGGCAATAGTTAAAAAGGAATATAGGACAGAGGTGGGTTCTTTCTTTTTGATGATTAGAGAGACTTAGATGTTGGTAGGATAAGAAAAATAATGGAGCACAATGGAGAGAAAAAGAGTCTTTCAAGGTTCCAACTGACCATCCTGATGTATCCAGTCTTTTCTCTCACTTTTATCTACCTCACCCCAAATGCTCCCCCAACTGGAGCTGTGAAATTGGAGGAGGTAGACAAGAAATGCAGGATCCCTGCCTCATCGTGATCCTCCAGCCAGCTCCAAATACCTGAACTGCAAATGACAGATGATTCAGCTATTTCTCCAGGTGTGGCATCACATGTTTACCCCACCCAGACTGAGTGTTCTTGGGGATTCAGAGGGTGTGTTAGGAAAAGTGCATGTGCCTTGGAAGAGGAAATGCTCCAAGTGTGTTAAACTTAAAATGATAATAAAGCTTAATCCACCCCCCAAAAGACCTCTCTGTTCTAAACAAACATTTATCTATACATTGAAGATTCTTCATACACTGTGAATAAATTTCAAACTTTCATAAAGAAGAAAGAAAAATGTGGGCATCATGAGAGCAAAAAGAATGTTGAATTCTTTGTAAAGACTCGTTTTTCTTTCTTCTTTATTCTTCCCTAATTAGGAATGATATTCATTGGCATTAAATAATTTTGTATCTGAAAGTTTGAAATTTATTTCCATAAAAGCATTGTGTCTTATAATTCTCTTCTACCTTGAGCCTTCTGGATCTTAGCCTGCTTAATTAGCTCTCCAATAATAGCTGCCAATATCACACCTGAAGCAGGTCTCCTGGCTATGTGACCTTGAACAAGTCATTTTACCTCTCAGAGCATACATTGTCTATCTAATCTACTTTCA